ACTCTCCCGCTGCAATTTTAGCACTAAAACTAGTTTACCGCAGTGGCTAGCATAGCGGGCGCTAGTCCACGAGGTCGCCGGTTCGAATCCCATACCTGCAGGCACGCCTGTGCGAAACGCCGACATTTCGACGCAATTAGCGTCACATAGGAGCTGTCTCCTCCAACTACACAGCTTTCGCTACACCATCCGTTTGTGTCAAAAATAGCACAAAATCTATAAGAACACACTAGGCTGATGCCCAAGACCGGTCCATCAGCCCATCAATCTGGACATAAAAAAAAAGGTATGCGTTTTATTCACACTTCTGAGGATCTGATCTAGCGATCTCTCGAATATTAAAGCTTATACAGAACTTGGGGCGACCAGCTAGACAGTAGTTTATGGTTAGAGGAAGGGAAATAACCTTTATGACTTCAACTTTCTATAAGTATATATAAAATTATCAAATGTAGGATTCCTGCCATTTATGAAGATATTTTCTAAAATGCCTAAATGTCTCCGTTCACTTGAGTCATGTGAGAAACACCGAGGCGTTTCATCAAAATGCCTAAAATAAAATCTATATTAAGGCAACTAAAAAAACACCTCAGAATACTTTTTATGCATGCAGCCTGCCATAGACGATAACTTGGTCCAGTTGGACGTTTTTCTCTAGCAAGATAGGGCCAACTAAGATTTTGACATCAAGACCTCGATTTTGATGAACCGGCCCTGGAACACACAAACACCCCCAGCACCAAGGAGGAACACGTTCGCGGAATTGGAAAACGTTCATCGGTTAGAATAAAAGTTCATGAATTTGACAAAATTGAAAAAAGTTCATCGATTTGAAAACAAGTTCACGAATTTGAAAAAAAGTTCATAAATTAAATACTTTATTCACAGGAGTCCACCTGACTGGGCCGGTTAACTGTCACGTGCTAAAAAAGGGAAAATAAAATAAAATAATAATTTTAAGTACCTATTTGAATTATAATTTGAAATATTTTTCCTTTCAAACCTGACATGGATGCCTACCATGGGCATGCCCACCTGTTTGCAAATTTTGATGTCATTTTAAGGATGTTCAAAAATAAATCATGTTCAACGAAAGGTGTTCAGGTAGGCCAGAAGCCTAGAAGGCTCCGTTGAGAGCACGTTGACTTTTGACATCCTCGAAATGATACTAATTTTTTCTCATGGCCTTGTACGACCAATTCACGGCACAATGCCAAGTTGTTTTGGTTTTTGAATCATTTTCTATTTTCTGGAGTTTTCTCGATCAAAAAGACCGATAAATGGCCGAACATGTCACAACTTGCATACATTGTCGGAAATCATTCAAACTTGACATGGTTGCCTACCATGGACATGTCCACCTACTTGCAAAAATTGGGATGATTTGAAGGATGTCCAAACATAGACCAAAAGTTGGGGTGTTCATGTAGGCGAGAAGGCTCCGTGTGAGAGTACTCTATTTCCCGACATCTTTGAAATTAACCCAATTTTTTTCATGGCCTTGTATGACCAATTCAAGACAACATGCGAAGTTGTTTTGATTTTTGATAAATTTTGCATTCTTCAGAGTTTTATCGGTCAAAAAGGCTGATAAATGAGCAGACGCGTCGCAACTTGCATACGGTGTGAGAAACCGCTCAAACCTGGTATGAATAACTACCATGGTCATGCCCACCTACTTGAAAAAGTTAGGATAATTTCAAGAATGTTCACAACTAGCCCATGTTTAATGGAGGGTGTTCGAGTTGGCCAGAAGGCTCTGCCTGAAAGCATGTTGTTCCTCGACATCATTAAAATGACCTAACTTTTTTTCCACCGGTTTGTGTGATCAAATAAAGGCACCGTGCCAAGTTGTTTGAGTTTTCGATAATTCTCACATTTTCTGGAGTTTTCTTGGTGAAAACTGGCCGATAAATGTCCGATTGTGACACAACTTGCATACGGTGTTGGAAATTTGTTCAAACCTGGCATGGATGCCTACCATGGTCATGCCCACCTTCCTGCAATAGTTGGGGTCATTTAAAAAAAAATCCAAAACTAGACCATATTCAACGGAGGGTGCACCCGGTTGGGCATGACCATGGTAGGCAACCATGCCAGGTTTGAACAATTTCTGACACCGTATGGCCATGTATCTGTCTTTTTTTACTTAGAAAACTCTAGAAAATGTAAATTTTGTCGAAAAGCAAATCAACTTGGCATGATGCCTTGAATTGGTCATAAAAGGCCATGGGAAAAATTGGGGCCATTTCAAAGATGTTGAAAAGTGTACTCTCAGACGGAGTCTTCTGACCTTACCCGCATACTCTCCGTTGAACATGGTGTTTTTGTTGACATCCTTGAAATAACCCCAACTTCTGCATACAGGTGGGCATGCCCATGTTTAGGCATCCATGCCAGGTTTGAGCGATTTTTTGACACCGTATGTATGTTGCGACACGTCCGGTCATTTATCGCCCCTTTTGACCGAGAAAACTCCAGAAGATGCAAATATTGTAGAAAACCAAAACAACTTGGAGTGGTGCCTTGAGATGGTCATAAAAGTAAATAAAAAAATTGAGGTCACTTGACGGATGTCAAGAAACAACGTGCTCTTAAACGGAGTCTTCTGCCCTACCCGGACTTGAACATGGTGTTTTTTTTAACATTCTTGAAATGGTTCAAACTTTTGCAGGCCGGTGGGCATGCCCATGGTAGGCATCCATTTCAGGCTCAAAAGAAAAATATATTCAAAATCATAATTTGAACATGTACTTAATTTTTTTTATTTTGAGTTATGAACATAAGGAATAAGTACACATAGATAAAATTGAAAACCGTAAATGCTTTTTAAATATTTAAAGAAAAAATCTATAACATAATTATTTTTAAAATTCAGTTAAAACTTGTATTTTGGTATTCAAAAGACATAAAAATGAAAACAATGAAAAACAGAAAATAAAATAAAACGCTTAGGCCTTGGCACAACTAGGCCACGACATCGCTCTGTCAGCGCGTGTTGGGCCGGCAAAAAAGCTCGCGGATTTGAGAAAAGTTCATAATTTTTTAAAAATATAATCATGGATTTGAAAATTTTCGCAAATTTTTTAAAAATTCATTCAAAAAGGTTGCAAAAAGGCTTCACGGATTTGGGAACATTGGCTTACCAGCCATTTTTTCCGGTTTTGGTAACCTTCTCGAAGGTCGTGAACCGCATTTTTTTATTTTTTTTCTGTCTATCTTCTCTCCTGTTTTATTTTTCTGTTTCTTTTTCTTTTCCTTTTTTCTGTTTATTTTTCTATTTCTTATATGTAAAAAATTTGCAGAATTCAAATTATGTTCGTATTTTTCTGATTTTTTGTTGAATTCATTTTTATTTTCTTTCAAAAAACGTTTGTGTTCAAAATTTTGTTTGTTCTTTTTAAAAAATGTTCGTGTTTTCACATGCTGAGCAAGTTTGAAAGAGATGAGCTTTTTATAAAATTTCTGTACAATTTTTTAAATACTAAAATTTTTATTTTATGAAAAAAAGGGAAAAAACCCAAGCGAAAACCGTGCATGAAAAATGAAAGAAACAATAAGGAGTGTAGGTGCTGTGTTTTTTTCCCTAGCGTTATTTATCTCGCACAACAGGAAGAAAGCAAGGTTAATTCGCACACCAGATTAGCTATCCCAGATGGTTGTTCACTTACATATAGTGCATGAGGACTCAATTCGAATCCTAGATTTGACATGCTTTTTTGACGTTTAAAACTTAAAAAAAAAACTAAACGGGCTGAGCCCATGAGGGAGGGGTGTGCGCCGGGAATTGTACGAACCTACGGCGTACACCTTCTAGTCGATACGATTTATGAAATGTCCATAC